CATCTATAAGAATCTTCTCCCCCCAAATCTGTAAAGAATTTATTGCGAAAAATATCACCCCTGCTCCCGAAACGAAACGCTTCCCGGCTGGAAGCAGGGGTGATATTTTTCGCAATAAATTCTTTACGGATTTGGGGAGAGAAGATTCCTATAGATGCTTATTATCAAAATGCTTAGCATCGAAAATATGAAATTGTTGAACAATTTAATTATTTTGATTCGTTACAGTAAATTCTGGCCTTATGTCAGAGCTGTGTTTTAAGACCGACAGTTTATGCGGCGCACAGTTGATATATGTGACTTAATATCTACATATACTCCGTTCACAGCAAGAGCATACCCAACATCGATGAAAATTTTTCTGTGTCATTACATATGTCCCCTCCCCAAAACGCTTGAAGGGCATTATGCACTCCCCACAATCCTGTCCGTACGCGCAGAGACAGGTATGCTCTTGCATCTATCGGAAAAATCCAGTCAATGTGGAACCTATGTTTATGATCGAAATATGCTTCCTGATCCGATCCTCAAAATGCTTTCGAAGATCGTACCTGGCCTCTATTGTTCTCTACCTGAATTGATTTACCGATTTTGGCGGAGCATCCATTGTCAGACCAAACAATGCAAATACAATTTTTATGCCAACGACCTTTTAGTCTGCACGTCTAGCTAAAACATCTAAAAGAAGCGATAGACAGGGTCAATGAGGACATAGGCAAATAGAGAGATGGACTCTCTAACTTCTAATTGTTTCAAGCTCAATCCTAAGAAGATGATTGCGATAATCTTCACTTATACGGCACTTCTAAATACTTAAGCAGTATTGTTGAGAATTTACCTCCTTTATATATACATGCCAAGCCGATTCAATACTGTGACTCTGTGAATTATCTGAGTATCATATTATAAGAATTTTGAGATCTGGACAAATCAGAGAAACGATATCAAGAATTAATGCTGCTCTTGATTAGCTAAATTATGTAAACAATTATTGCCATTTTCGTTTTTCTTTGTATTTAATCATCTTATTTAATTTTACTTTTTTTTTAATCATATGTGTCTGTTATTTTATATGTAATTGTAGTATTGCGATGTGCGCTTTAGGGGACATTGTCTCAGAGCGCCCAATAAATACTGAATCAATTAATCAATCAATCTTTTTTATTCGTAAAGCTACGTTGACACACAGTTGACTAAAAACTTCGATGCTTAGTATTTTTAAATTCAGTCTCTGTAACGCATAGCTATTGAATCAACGAATTAGCTTGAAACTGATATTTTAAAGTCTCACTAGTTTTTCTATAAGAAAAAATCTTTTCACGCAAACAACATTTATCAGGGAATCCTTTAATCGATTTAAATTTAATCCAATAAAGTTTAACTTTGATTGTGTTATATCAATGGAAAAACAAATATTATTTTGCCAGATTGTAAATTAAGTTGTGCATTATAATTCGAATGATTGTTATGCAAGAATGGCGTCGATCGCAACTGCATTATTTAAATTAAATTCTTCGTTAGCTTCAGTATCGACCATTGTATGTTTATGGCTCACCATGTAAAGATAAACCTTCATTTTAAGCAGCACATCCTGACTCGCGAGAATACAGATGATTCGTTCGCGCTGTTGACACATGCGTCACAACAAATTGTTAACAATTGTATAAAAAAAAAATATAGCAATATAATTAAAAAATTACAGCCTATAAAAATATTTATATTTTTTCGCAACAAATAATTCTTAGTATTTAATTGCGTCACAAATGGGGGATTTTATTAGATGCCGATAAGCATCAATATTTATTAAATTGATTATCAATTTAATAACGTTAATAATAATTCAGTTCTGTTTCAAATAATAGGCTGCGTTGAATCTGAAAGTAACGGCGTGCAATTTGTTGAAACTAGAAACTATATATATAAAATATATATAAATATATACATATATATTGTTTATATTTTTTGTTATTATTTTTTATTTTTTAAAAACGATTTATTTTTTTTTGTAAAATTTAATAATTATACTTACTACATATTTAACGATTTTTAATAAAAGTCTTATGTTAAGAATCTTTTATTTTGTTTTAAATCAATGTTTTATTCTAACTTGTAATTCGTTTTATTTTTTCATACATATCTTTTTCTGGATTATATTAAGAAATTGTAATATAGAAAAAAAACAATTAATTAGAAATAAATACTAATCGTTGCAGATAAAAGTACGCTAATTGTAAGGCATATCATTAATTTTTCTTATCAAAAAATTAATTATACTGAAGAAGTTGAAATCTTTGTGGCAACATCGATAAATCGGTCAACTCTTCATATAAATGATACTGTTTATACTGGCTCTTACTGGCATGATATTTTCATAAACTGAGAAATTTCGTGTAATATGCGTATTTAGTTCATAATCACTTTACGAATAGCATAGAGATAACATAATGACCTATGTTTCGACAATATGTCGAAGGTTATCTGTATATCCTTGGTAATCTCAAAAATTTAGCAAGTATAAGTAGTGTAATAATAACTAATAAGATAATAAAAGTAACAAACTTACAAATCAGATTGATGTTACGAGAAAAAATAAAAATTTTTTAAATTTAATTGATAAATAAATACAAATATAAATAGAAAAATGTTTAATAATCTTCAGATTTTTAGATTGTAGATAATTACTGATTTTGAAATGGTTTAATTTTTGTCTAATTATGAACTATAAACACTTTTTAAATACTTATATTTTCAGTAAAACATTTTGTTCAACATTCATCATTTTTCAATCAATAGACATAATCATTGATAAATAAAATATTGTAGATTAGCTGTAAATGCACACATTTTAATAAAATAAATATAATTCGTTTTTTTTTAATGTAATCTTTCTTTAATTAATTTAATGTAATCTTTCTGTATAACGAGATGATAATTGTATGCAGTTGACTTGCGATCTTCATGTATTTATTCGTTGGACTATTTAGAGCACATTTTGCCAAAAAATTCTTCTATCAATAATCAAACAAATTAATTCTTGACTGATGATCGAAACTATTATAGATAAATTTCTATCGTTGCCACAATCGTTGGATCGCATCCAGATCTTAACAAATCCGTGCAAAGTTTATTGTCATTCCTTGGTGGGAACACGTTTCATTGTGTCTTACATTCTTGAAGGAGACAAGGCATTCATTTAGAGTTTAGCGCGTTATCGTTTCCGTGCTTGAAATTATTTATTGACCAGTGCGCCGTCTTGTATACAAAAAAGTACGTGCAACATGCATTATTCATAATTATCCGCTGCCAACGAATTTGCGCGAGATACCGAGGCAAACTATTTACGCTCATGTGAATGACTTTAATACACATCTTCTTACTATAATAATATCGATCAATCGAAAATATAAAATTAAAGTATTGCATCACAAACAATCTTCGATTAAATATTCATGTATTCTAGAACTTATTAAAATTAAAACAATATATTATGTATATACGTAAATATGTATATATGTATATATAAAAATTTTCTGAAAGTAATCTAATTGAATTGAGTACTTTTATCTAACGTTTGCGTCAGCGATGTTTTTGATAAATTTTATGAATGATGGATGACTTCTCGACGATTAATTCTGAGGACCAGCTCCGCGCAGGCGCCATTGCGGTCAAGCCGGCTTAGGGAGTAAACAAAATTGAATCCTGCGCATGGTTCTGATCAGTCAAGCGGTGACTCTACTCGTTGAAAGAATCTCTCTCGATACCCCCTCGTATCTATTTTCGATCGAAAGATTCGCAGGTTCGCGTCGTCGATTGTTGACTCTCCAGAATTTCCTGCGACGAGAAGAACGCGACGGGTGATCGGCATTGCTTACGATGCGAAAATCGGATTGAAAACCTGAATAATAGACAAGAATTCAGTCAAAATTGTGCGGGACTATCGCCTTGAAGGATTTCATAATGGCGAATGATTGTAAGAGCTTCGAAGATTGAATTATGGAGAGACAATTGTATCCCTAAATTTTCTCCGCATTAAAATCCATATTAAAGTAAATTCAAAGAATAATAAAATGTCAAAAAATTTAAAATTTTTGATAATAACTATTTCACAAAATAGACTGTCTTCTTTGTTTAGCACTACTGTTTGAAATTTTTACGGCATAAACATTCCACTGTTATCAAATTAAACCACTAAAAATAATTTTATTAAATATATTAAATATTTCGTAATCTTTATTTTTAGATTGTTTTAATGATTTTGCGATTAATAAACTTTAGAATCTCTCCATCTGTGTGTTTTATAATTCTTTATTATTCAAAACCAGTTTTACTAGTTGTATTTATAATTTAGAGCTTTCTCAATTTTAAATTTATTTTATTTTAATATTTTTGCTTCTCAATTAATTATCTTTATTATTGTTTTCAAATTCCGGTTTTTCCATCTTTTGCAATTAGTCACCTTTACAAACTTATTCACAGAAAATCTTGTAGAGTATCTTGTTGTTATCATTATCATTTTCCCTGAGATTGCATATTGCAAAATATTGTATTACGTATATGCAATAATTATTTATGCAAATAGCAAGAATTGAATACATTTTTAAAAATGTATTCAATTCTTGCTTTAAAAATGTATTTGCAAAGACAAAAGTGCAACGGACTGAGATAGCGTAACGTAAAGCGCTTGCATTCCTATGACAGGAAGAGCGTCCATCCATCTTTTGTGGATATATTCTGCTGATCTGAATTAAACTCTGAAAGAAAAAAAAAAATATATCAAGTGATCGAAATATAATCGATGCTAATATTTCAAACTGAATGAAAAACGAATGCCCTTCGGAGGAAAGTGAGAATTAAAATTTGTTTTAAAGAGAATTGACGTTTACATCAGATATAATTGACGTGAATGAATCAGACGAAGAGTTGTAAGGTCAAGCCATTGCGATTGTATTTCCAGATACTTCACTTCATTAGATTAAAACTTTACGTCACATTGAGATAAGTTCTTCGACGAAGTTGAGGAAACAAACGATAGGTGAAATTAAAAATCCTCAAATTCACATTTGCAATCATGTTTGTGAATAATTGGGAGAACGACACCTTGTCAACACCTGCGTTTAATAAGACGACGATGATGACCAATGTAATGACAAGTGATACACGGAACAGACATGTGACTTTCGCGTCTCAGTTTGTGTTAACCCTCGTCTATACAACCGGTGTTATTGGTAACGTGTCCGCCCTAGTCATACTTTTTCATCGGGACAAGGTAATTCACGGAAAAATAAAATTATTTATCACATTAATTAATTTTTGTAACATATTGTAATAATATATTAGAACAACTGTTACGCTAATAAAGTAAATGTCAATCAGAAATATATCATTACATACGTACTACAGCACATAAATATATTATTACAATATTATTTATTGTGTTGATTATTGAAGTGCTTTTGGAAAATAGTATATTTACGTTTAACATATTTTTGTTAAAGCTTTTTAGTTATAGATTAAATAAAGATCTTAAAAATACATTGCAGATAAATAAAATATTTTTGAAGAATAATATGCGATTTAAATTCAAGATTAAATTCAAGAAATATTACGCAGAAAATGTAAAAACGCTCTCTAATTGATTAGAAAATAAACAGTCGTAAGATAATCGTTTGGTAATTGATTGTTTGACTATTGACGTATTAAGTACGACGATTGACCTAACTTATTTCCGTCGACAGGAAGTTAAACCTTTCCTTAGAGCGTTTCTTAAAGCGATCCTTTTCTTGTAAAAAAGTTCATTATAAAAAATTAGACTAAATATATTTTAATAAATAAATAAATAATATTAGAGTTATATAAATAATATTAGAATAGTCGAATATTTTAATAACATATAACAGTAATTTGTTATAAGAAATATATCTCTATATGTATATAATAATAGATCTATTTCTACTACGTAATAATAGAAATATGTTTTTGTCAAATTAATATTGTTTTAGCGAAAAATTTGTTACTTTCATAACAATAAAAAATAATAGAGTGTTCCTATACTTGTTTCATTTCAGAGAAGAAACCGCAAGCATTTGCTGATGCTGCGTTGTTTGGCAACCAACGACCTCGTGGCGTTATTGGGGATGTTGGTGCAGATGTATGTTACAATTTATGCTGGCAATGTAACATCCACAAGAGTATTTTGTTCTCTGCGGGTTGTCTGGCGACTTTTTGGTCTCTTCAGCGGCTGCGTCGCCATCGTCATGGCAGTGGAGAGATGGCTAGCTTTGACTAGACCCTTTGTTTATCAACAAGTAAGTCTATAAGTTTAAGATAATATCGTAAACGCTGCCATTACGAATTGCAGATAATTATTTATAGGGAAGAGAAATTAATTTTTTATTTTTTTTTGTGCGATCTAAATAAAGAAAATAGAGAAGTTGATTTTGTGTGATCTACTGGAAAAATGAATTTATTTTTAATGAGACGAATAAAAAAACAATGCGTGCGCGCACTAAGCGTGTTGCCAAAGTAAATCGCATGTTATGATTCACGACATGATCTCGCTTAATACGGACGAGCTAATGCGCGTGAGGAAATTTATTCACGTGCGCCATAGAGGCACTCCAAAGCTGCGACGCTTATAGAACGACCGTATTTCACGTTAAAGATGAAATAAAGAGAGGGAGAACGACTGATCAATGAGCTAGGAACCTATTTTTGCGTGAATTATCACTGCATGTGGATACAGGAGGGTACTTAAGGCTCCTGAAATGCCGTTTCCACAAATTAATAAATTCGAATAATTTCACGGTCGCTAATTAAGAAGGTATCGATCGCAATGCGATAGAAGCTGACGTCAATTTACACAGCGTGATCATCTTCGCAGTACTCCACGATTGCAAGTAATTGGAGATGATTACTGCTACTGTGTTACGTCGCACTTCATCAAATATTGTTTTTCTCAAGAAAAAACCCTTCCGAGAGTTTGAGATATTCTCAGAAATGTTATTAATGCGATAATTTGCAACCCACCCATTGTTTACATTTTTTCATCAACACACGACGATTAATAAAAAATTTATAAATGCATGATTAAAAGTCTGATATTATATGTACATTTTAAAAAAGAAATTAATGAAACAAGTCATATTTTTAATTGCGATATAATACTTTCGAATTCTATGATATCGCTTTATACACAAATCGCGTACATAAAACTGACGTAAAAAGCTGCAGACGATGAATCGATAGACTTATCAGGCGTCAAGCGTCAACTCGATTTCTGGTTAATCTTAAACGCGATTTGGGACGAGTATTGTTTTTACTGATTTTAAAAGTAGACGATTATCCTTGACAATTCTGCGTAAAGATTTTGCGCAGAATGATGCTCTCAAAATGCTCTGAATGACGCAGTTCGCAAAGCAACACAATAAAAAACACTTGATATTTGTGTTAGAAACGGTTCACTCAAATCTTTGTTAAAATTTTGCGTTGACATTTGTAACACATTCGAGTATTAATTTTAACATAATGTTATTTATATATCTTGTGTTAAATTAATATTCAACATTTCTTATTGTCAAAATAAGCCTTCAATTTATGAATAAGTAAAAAAATAAAAATAATATGTTTTAAAACGTAAATTCTAACATAAACGAATAAAATACGTATTAATTTAACATATCATAAATATTAATTTTATTGAAAAAATATGCTTCCACAATTTGTTTAGAAAGTGTGTCAGTGTAACATTTTTTGTGTTAATTTTTAAATATAATATTTGTGTTATTTTCTAACATATTCATCATGCATTCTTTGTTGACGTTGTAAAATGTCGTCAAAAATATTGAAATGATGGCAAATAATGTCAGCTTGCCACCTGGGGTAAACCATTTTTACAAACTTTGTCTTCTATTATATGGTTTATTGTTAGATGTTTGCGCTTAGTGACTTTCTCCTTCTGCAGGTGACTTTCAAAAAGGGCAGGAAAAAAGAAACCACAGAAAACGCGAATATTGGGAAGTAAACAGCTTCCCTTATTTTTTGGAAAAATTCTAATTATATAATTAATCATATTCCATAATTTAAGTTTATATTATTGAAACAGAAAATTCGTAATATGTAGAATATTTGACACTCAATATTAGTGAATTGAACTAATTATTAATTGTAATAATATATAAATTGGTAACAGCATATTTTATTCATAAAGAATTGCATGTAATTTAAAAAATATATTTATTATACAAAAAATATAAAATTATTTCTTCCGATTCAAATTTACGAATAGAACAGAAATTAATAAAAGTTTATAAATGAATTTGTACATAAAAACTACTAATTTTTGCTGTTTTCTCTTTTTTGTTATTAATCTATAATGGCCAAATAAATTGCGCTATATTGGCTTTTCTCGATTTCTTCAATTTGTAGTTATCGCAATTTCAACAAGGAATCGATATCCGCATCATCGTGTCTCGATATCTTAATGGATGACACGCATGTATCTTTCAGCAGGTGACGTATCCGGTAATTGTGCGTTGTATGTTGGCACTTTGGTTGGTCGCATTGGCGTTGACCAGCCTCCCTGTTATGGGCTTCGGTTTGTATTATAAAGGCAGTCAATGCATACGATATAGAGAAGCCACCGAGCCGAGCGATATCGCTTATGCTTATGTATGGTTCATTTCCGGTGAGTAGATCATGAGCAGATAATAAAAAGAGAGAATTACTGATAGTTAAAAAAATATAATATTATTTACTTGATAGATTTTTTCTTTTGTTAATTAGAATATAAACACATACATCAACATTTATATAATAATTGCTATTAATATAATTGTAATTACGTTTTTAATTTTACAAAAAAATTTTAATTGTAAAAACTATTTTTAGATTACTGAATATTCTAATTTTCTTTTTAATTATAGGTACTCTTTTATGTTTGTCAATTGTCTGGTGCAACTTGGCGGTTTCTAGGGCTTTGAGTAAATTAAGTCGTCGCACTGTTGCTCTTAGGAGAATCTCCAAAGCTTCATCGAGAACAAAACCATTGTTGACCATAACCGGGCCACCCCATCGACCGGAAATGGTTGCTACGACCGAAGAAAGAGCATTCGCAAGGCTTATGGCTGTATTATCAATATCATTCGTTATCTGCTGGATGCCACACATGGTAAGTTTTTTGATTTAATTTATAATTATATAGTTGATTACAATTTTGTGAAAAATAATAATTAAATATAAATAATAAATAAATGTAAAAAATAAAATTATAATTTATAGTAAGATAATAAATTGTAGAAAATAATATTTTCCTAAAAGAAGTTAATAAAAGAAAGAATGTAATAAAATAATAAAAACTTTTTTCTTATGACGTATTTTCCTGTTTTTTATCATTTTTTTTCATGTTTTTAGAAAAAACATGAATATATTAGTACATCTAACAATTAATATACCTTTCCATTTTATCAATTATTATCTATTGTCAAACTCTAACAGATAGAAGAAAAAGTAATATAGAAAATGGATTGATCTATATAGTATCGAATTACGAATGAAATGTTATGATTCTATAAAAGATGATTTTTTAATTTTCTTCTTGTGCAGTTAAAGGAAATATCTCATATTGTTAGTTAGAAATCTTCTTTTTCTTCTGTTATATGCTTCTATTATATTTTAATATAAAGTTTTTTCATTATTCGTCGCTGTAGGTATAGCATGACTTTGTGATATTTTTGTGAAAAAGCCATTCTAATTTTGATAGTTTTGTAACGGGACTTAATAGTGTTCACGTGAAGAAAATTACTTTTCTAACAAACCGATTTTTATGCTTCTATGCCGTGTTTTTCCGATAATCCGATGATATATTGAAGTTTATTTGAATGACAATATAACCAGTAGGTCCATTCTAGTCGGCGCCTGTAATTTTTGCGTCGAGATCACATTCGTCATGTTAGAAACACTTAAAAAATGCAAGACCGAATAGAGAAAGTAGTATCTCATAAGTATAATAAAACGGATGAATAATAATACAAATTCAATACAGTGAAATTAATAAATTCAATGTGTGAGTCGAATAAAACATTTTAAATGGTAACAATTATATGTAAAAATGATCACTAAAGAAAATATCTGATGAAACTGCTTATAAATTGTCTGCACATATTTATGTATATACGTTCCTGTCGTCTTGCATTTTATTAAATTCAGCCCAAAACAAAAGTTGTGCGACGATATACCTGCGCGAACTATAACATGCACTTTTCGCGGAACCTACTGATTATACTGTAATTTGAATTATTTTATGGAAAAGTATTTGTCACAGGTAAAAAAAAATGTTTTTGATAGAAAGATACTTAAAAATAAAATTATGAAATAATTACGGAACATATATTATTGCTACAATTTAAAATTATAAATAATGATAACAAGAATAAGAAAAAAAGAAGAAATAGGAGCAAATAATATAATCATTAATAATAAATAATGTTAAGAGTTTATAATTAATACTAAAAAAATACTCTTATGCACGATAAATAGTTGAATTATATTTTTAAACAAATTGTTTGACTTACAACAAGCATCTTCTTGCCGGAAACGATAATCATTATTATTTATTACATATAACCGGTAACAGAAATATCGCGCGCTTCCGTTAAAAGCGAAGGTCGACAAGGATAAATGATCAATATTTGAGAATAGTTTCACGTACAAGCAATTGAGACATCCGCGAGCCAATATTCTGATCGTCTCTGAATTGATTTCATCCTGTTGACGGGTTTGCTATGTAACGGAAAATTTTACACGCAGAAAATTAATTCGCAAAATAAATAGATGTAATAAATAAATAATTTATTTCTACGATTAAATTGAAGAAGTTATATTATATATATAGGTCATCTATTTTATTTATAAAAATTTTTGTAAAGGAAAAGATTTGATAACGAATGCCTCTCTCTGCCCTTAAAAAGATTTTTCTTTGTATAACATCCATAATCGAATCAATTTTTTATTAGTTTTTTTTGTTAAATTATTAAATTTCGTTAATTTTATTCTCTAGATTTCTATTCCATTGGCTCAATTCGCGATGCAGTTACCTGAAACGGCGCGGAAATGGATTCGACACTTCTACATCATAGCCGATATACTCTTGTGCGTTCACTTTACCCTGGATCCATACATTTACGTAATTTTACGAATGCCCCGGCCGAGATTCCGACTGTTGAAGCCCCTCTGTAAGATCTGCTGGCCGGATCGAAGTCGCTCCAATTCCTTTACAGGTGAGACAATACACGAACGTCGCTACGGGTAATAGCATAGACTGCAAAATTTTTATCAAGAAGCGATTCTATTTTCAACAGATAATTCAACCAATAGTGTTTACGTGATTTGCATACAAAATATTTTAGTCGATGTTTTCTGTTACATCTGTACGTTCATGATCATCCATTTTATTGATATTGAGATTAATAGATAGTATTGAGATTAATGTTTGAAAGTGTTGCATATCCTTTATTTATGTAATAGCTTATTATTAACTTTACTAAGCCATCTTGGTAAAAAATAAAATAATTAAATATAACAAATATATAAAATAAAGTCGGAAAAATAAAATTATAGTTGTTAATAAGAGACAAGGCAAAATTGAAAACGAACATGATTTTACGCAACAGGTACGACGGATCATCAATGTAGCAGCGGTGATCCACCCACACCGAACACCGAGGCACCCTCGACCCCTGTCAGCGAAGAGCACGTGTCTCATCTGGCTACAGCATCGCTCTGAGAGCGGCCTATGCGAATGATCTTCCTGAAGCGACTGAAAAATCATGATGTAATCAGATGTAAACGTTCGAATCGTTTCGAGACTGGAAGACATTCGCCCAGCTTTTGATTGACTCCGTTCATTTGCACACAAGGCAAATGAAAGTGACGTTGACTTTCATTTCGTACAGGAAATCAAAATTCGACTTAAAGATTAATCAAAGAAGAAAATTGTAATTTGTAGATAACTAATATGATGTACTGGAATACGTTTATTTTAAAGTGTAAAATTCTAGTCAGCAACGAGAGCGCGAGAATGAATGACGGAATACAATTAATTATCTCGCGAATAATCAAAGTGTAAATGTAACCAATGGTGACAACAATTTTTCCAACATTAAAAATTCAAACTATAGGATGTGGATGTAAATGGCAATATCCTACAAATGGATATATTTTTTAAAAAGATAGTATAGTTTACAAGATATATAAAGTATGTACGTTCTTACATTTAAATTTAGTTTAGAGTATAAAATAAAAAGATAGTTTTTTTAAACATTTATGACGGGGGGCTGGGCACGCATTGCACTTTTCAGCCGATTTTCGAGTGCCGCTGTTCCTCTTACCTCACCGTTTCGAAGCGGTGACTTGGATTGCCGTGCGAAGGGGTGAGGTAAGGGAAACAGCGGCGCTTGAAAATCGGCTGAAAAGTGCAATGCATGCCGAGTCCTGATTTATGTCAATCAAGTATATTTGAAATATTGTTCAGCCTTGAACAATGTATATACCATAAAAGAAAAATTTATTCTACATACCTTAGTAATGAGAGAGAGAATGAAAGTGTGAATAGCTAGCGGCAGAGCGATGTTTGGAAGGTTTTTTTTCTCTCCTCCTGGGTGATCTTTCAAGTTGGGCTCTCTCTTCTCTTATCTTCTCCGGGTGAATCAATCCTTCCAGGTGTCATAATTTATACTACATATATTCCGTGTTGTGTGTGTGCAATTGCAACCTAGAGCGTAGTCGGTATATATTTGTAAACGACTTTATTTTAAACGAATATCAAGTTATTTGTACATAATATCATACATACATATGTTAATGTATTTTGCGTACGCGCCGAGCAATGTCGCGTATAGCGTTTGCGCGGGCGTTTAACAATTCTTTCAAATAAACGTTAATCCGAAATTACCTAGATCACGACTCACCTTCCGTTCTCCAGGACAGACATACGCCCACAAATATTCTCGTGTACAAAAAAAAAACCCAAGAATAGGACGCATACACTTCGCACTCTCTGTGCAGAATCTTAAATATCGTCACGTCGCGCTAATCGATACATTGTAATGAAAGTGCAGCGAGGCGCAGCGTGAGATAAATCAAGGATCGAATGAAATTATACGCATATGTACTATAAGTACAATCACGTCGGCAGGATGACTCACCATTAACCACCGACTATGTCGAAAATAATTTAAGTTACTCATCGTCGAAATGTCGAGTTATTCGAAAGAAATATACACATCTCAAATGCAAGTTTAATTAAAATTTGTATACATTTTGCGTATATGCAGAATGTAACATTCGCTTGTAGAGATGATTGTGATTGCGCTAATATAAGTGTATATTGTAATTTATTTGAAACTGCATATAAGAGAAGAAATAAATATTCGCATAAATATAATAAACTAAGCTAAAACATTATATACATTAAAACTATGATTTGCAGTGAGATGTAATTGCTTTTAATCAAGAACATTTTTTGTTTCATTTAATTTTCAAAATCGATATATTGAAAAGAATAATGTTTTTCAATATAGTGCTTTGATAATTTAAATTATAGTTAGAAACACAATTATTATATATTTTTTCTCACTTTCCGCGATGTTTGTTACGTTCTGCATATTTTGAAGCTCGATTATTCCTTGGAGACCGAAATTACACTCAATTTTTCTTACCATTCATATCATTCATAAACGTACAAGTATATATATTTTTGTTTGTATTAAGTTCACAAAAAATTTATATATAATTTCATAATATCTTTCTTACAAAATATCGTTTTTATGCAATAAATAAGTGCATTCAAAATTCTAGTTTTAACATTACAATGGCATATTTACATTAAATAGAATTGGCGAATAGCAGAATGGAAAGACTGTGTAATTGCATAAAAAACGATCATAAAAATACCATTTTTTTAATCTAAAAAAATCTGTTTATTTTAAATGTAATGAAATAATAATAAAAACCAAAATTGTGTTATGTAATAACAATTTTACGTTTAACACAATATCTGCAATAGCGATTTTACTCAATTTATAGATCTGTTGTACTCTTCTCACTTGAATCATAATCAAATCATTGTATAAGTCACTGCGTTCACAGGAAATCAGAATAATTATTTGGCCGTTGCATTAATCGCGTTTTTATGACAACAAAGGATGTCAAAAAACACTAATGACTACATACAATAGGATTTTGGTTAGTCTCGTATACAGTTACTTCCAGATTCATTATCAATTAATTATTGTCAAGTATTGTATGTTTAATAAACAGTTAATTATTTAAATCATTTGCCAAAATAGCAGTGCATTTAAACGCTTTCACAATTAATAATTTATAATTATAAATTGTCGCGTGATTTATTATTATTATTATATGAGCCTCAGGTTCATCAAATCCATCTTGAATGAATTATGATTTTAAATTATTTTATTATTCAGCACGATATTGATTGCAAAGTACGAAGAATATAAACGACCAAATTCATAAAGCAGTGATGCGCGATCCTTTTTTAAAATTTCTTGAATTATTAATTTCATATTTTTCTCATTATAAATTGTGTGATAATTATTAAACAATTAAAAAAATAGACAAGTAATTATATCCAAAAGGAAGTTGTTAATTAAAGACTCTTTGTTATCAAAGATTCTGCAATTCAATATAATTTTGTTTAATCAAATATTAGAAGCCAATTTTTGAAAATACAATCGCCTTTAAACATCTATCACAGTTTGTAGAATTTATAACAGATTTCCAATATTGGAATAATCATTTTCCTATAAATAGCACATAAAGAAAAGAAAGAGGCGTACATACATGATGGCAATCTCGTGACAGAATAATTATTGGCACTTCTATTGGCTTGCAATTGTAAATTTGTTTTTTTATACCGACTTGTAGTTTTAATTAGAAGATAATGAAGTCCACATGTACGCACATACATACATACACCTTCATACGCGCGCGGAGAAAATACAAACAATTACCTCTAATACGCGAAACCTTCAAATTTCTCTTTATTCCCCCGTCTTCTTCAAATAAATAAATCCGTCTATTTTGAACCTCTACGCACTTGATGTACACAAACTCGATAGACTCTTAAACAATTAACACGAACACATCGAGTTACATTATACCACGTACTGGAAATAACAAAGTACTTTCGCAGTCGACGAACATGGAGCAAAATTCTCCTCTTTTTTTCTCTTTTTTTTTCTTTTTGACACTTTTAGTATTTGTAAGAAATATAGATCTCTGTTAATTGATTGTAGGCCAGACTTGATACATGTACATACACATATATAAGCTTGATTTAACGTCCAGGTACTGTGTCCCATCGATTTTTCAACATCGATAGTTTTTACCTAATCATAATCTGGTCTAAAATGGAAGATCTGTTTTATTTAGTTACACTTTCTACATTTTTCGATAATTTTTTCCTAATAGTCTTCTTTTTAAAATTTTGATTATATGTTTTTGTCTTATTTTAAACGTGTAAAATATTAGAAAGTGTAACTAAAAGAAAACACACGGATCAAATCCGAATGACACAAACATCTAAAAAGTATCCGTAAAGACACTTAAAAGAGGTTTCATTCTTATAGGTCTCGTAGACATTCTTATAAAAATCTTACGGATGTTTTTTGGATCTGCTATATTGTTTTGAAATATGTTGGCTTAATGTATGAACCACGTGTTTTCGAGACAATGTCTTCATGTATATAACGAATATACATCGACATCGAGAATCACAACAAGGATCAGATCCTACCATTTCCAACATAAAATTCGATCCCGCGATTCGTCTGACATTAAATGATTTACCAAGAGAACGCTCAATCCACAGAGAAATGAACTGTTTAGAATGCATATAGATTTCGCAAATATCAATTCAACAATTTACAAGGAAAAATACTTCAAACGTTTCAACTCTATATATCACATAACTGTGTGTTATTTATACATTAATATTTTAATGTTTTAACACATATTTTAATTTCAGATATACATATATTCGAGAAAGTAAGAAAACATCTACGGTCATCGAGCACTCGTGTTGTTTGGTAAACCATTTTACATCAGACCGACGTGACTGATCATGGTCAGAAATAGCAGATCCACTAGAAATTGCACAACGATGATGGAGTCAGGTCTACGTGACCGTCCTCGATTGGTCGGACTACCGCGCGAGCTGCAGTCGATACTTCCTTACGTCTTGAGAGTAGTGCAGCTCCCGCATCTTGCCCTTGATCCACTTAGTTAACACCAGCCAGAGAACCCTTCCGCGTTCCCATAAAAACCCGGCGCGCGTCCTAATCGGCCACGAACAGACGGCGACGACGTCCGTCTACGTGCTGCGCGTACAACAACGATTCCCACGGCGTGTCATGCCGATTCTTGTTTATCGCAACCCTTGCCTGCAATGCAGATTATCCCCGTCAGATTGTCTTCTCCTACAATTTGTCTACGGTGTCTATGTACATAGATCCATCCAGCATGCTCAATCAAGATCTTTCTGAGGCAAGTTTAACCCACCGACAAATTTATTTAAGATTCGTAATTAAAATAACGAACGTATAAGGTAACAAATCATATAAATGTTTAAATGCTACCAAAATATAGAGATTGAATTTTATATATGCTTAAATTTTGATAAAATAAAGCATACTTACATACTATCAAGAAGTAAAGTGGTTACTGCATCATCCCGAATGTTGTTCAGCATGATGAAAAATTTTATTTAGCATACGATTTCAATACAACGTTTAAGAACAACTTCTAATGTGCAGTAGCCAATTAACTAAGCCGAAAAGCATTAAAACTATCTTGATAAAAAAAAAAAATATTCTTTATACATATTTTTTCAAATAAGTAATAAATTTTCTGCAAAAAAGATAGAATAGTTTTGCTTCATGTTTCTCTATGATGCTAATATTCATTCGCTTTTCTTTCATTTGTACACATAATAGAAATGTAAAGAAACGTATAATTAATGTATCATAGATATTTGATAATTGTGATGATTTATTTTACAAGTTTATCTATATTTTCAATTAAATTTCTCAATGGAATCTGTTGCGTTTTTTACCTGGGGTCGTGTTACATCGTATCACACTTTCCACAGCAGTAGATGATTCGTGGAGTCCTCGCGACCAGCCTGCAGCTCAGCGGAAGCTTGAGGTCCGCGGAAATCCTCGTAACCGTCACCGCCGGATATCACCAGGAGTTTGGCGCGATTGATGTTGTTCTGTTGCGTTTTATTCGACTTCAATGAATAACGATTCACCTTCGGGCGAGGTTCTGGTTTCGAGGGATGTGGTGTTTCCACACAGGTGAGAAAACGCACATGTCCTGTGTGTCCGTGAGGAATTCCTGTGCAATACATTACAATTTTACTGTTTGATTTGATAAAGACTTTTTCGGACGTGAATCTAATAGTGATCTTAGAGTTTAGTACGAATATAGAGAGACAGCATATAGATTTCAATCTCTAAAACTTTTAGCCATATAATTTTAATAAAATTTATTAAAAATAATTTCTCGTGTAGTTTGTTTGCGAAACACTTTTATAACGCCGATTTATTTTCTATTTTACGTATGCCAAGATACAAACATATAAATATGCGACTGATAAAATTTCATATATAAACATATATTCACGCAATGATGCACGTATGCATATATGTATTTTAACGCGATGAAAAAAAAAACTTGACATTGATCGATCGCTCCTGTATCCTTCCACGTGAACGGAGATCGCGCGCGATTTGGGGTGTCGGCCAGCTTTCTAATTATATCGCGGGGCAATAATAACGGCGACACAGGCGATAGAATATGACGTCAATACGCACCAGTCACGATCGGCGGCTGCGACATCCTCTGAGTGGATGGCTTTATATGGGGAATTGGCACGGTGAGCAGCACGCCGGCGCTCGTGCCGATCCAAAGCAACTCGTTGCAAGCCAATAGTGCGGTGACCCTGAGACACGCGGCCTTGTGCTGCCGAATTATGTCATCGCAACCTGCAACAAGTTTAATGCTTCCGTTAAAATAAGTGCCGAATTTTATTCCTCGTTAGAGACTCGTTTCCACAATTAATCAAATTCAGACGTGCGATTTATTTCAATTTAAAAGACAAATATATAACACCTAATTTATTTTAATATCTAATATTAAATATTTAAAGTTTTAAATTAAATTACTTATAATTTATATAAAAGTCAAAGTTCTAATTTCAATTAGATAAGGTAATTTTAAATTAATAAGAAGTTCACGAAATGCTAAATAAATTTGAGATCTATTTAAAGTTTCAAAATTATTTTAAATTACCTTTTTTATATTATTTCTTTAAATTTTTCTACTAACTTAACCGGGTATCCGATTATTCAAGATTTGAAACTTACTGGCAAGCATCTTGGTAACAGCTGGCGCGATGTTGATATCAGCTAGGCACTCGTATGTACCGGAATGGAAAAGCCTCAGCACAGCGCTATTGTGTAAGGAAATCCAAACGCTTAAACCTCCAGAGTTCGCCATACATGAAACGGCGCGGCTCGTGTCGCTGCTCACGGTAAACGTGTGTTCGATATCCAGAGTGTGGGTATTCAGAACTTTAATACTGTTGTGACACCCGCACCAGAGTTTCCCGGAGACAGACAGCATTTTGGTCACCGGTGATGCTACCGTCCCGACGGACACCGTCGTTGGATCCTGAGTGTTCCATCCACCAGCTAGAAATAAAAAAAAAAAGAAGAAAAGTAAGAGCCAAGTAAAACGAAGGAGAATAAAATTTAATCTTGCTCAAAGAGTATTTTATCAATTTATTAATTATTTATTTTTATTAAGTATTTTATATTAATTAACAAAAAATACTGTCAAAAATCGACACGTACTATGGTCCCGAACGTAAACGGTGATGTCCCCGTTGGCAAGAGAGACAAACACCTTGTTATCCAAGTATCTGAAATCACGAAGCAGTATTGCGAGAGTTTAGAACATACAAATCGTCGAAAAGAGGTAGGAATAGAAATAGAAATGATATATTCCTATTCTTCTGCAATAATAAAATAGATCGGAATTGCTTACATGATGCAATGCACGCTGCTGCCGTGCTGGATCTTGACTTTGTTTTTCTTAATCCGAATGTTGTCGTTGCAGTTATACACATGGATACAACCGTCCTCGGTTCCCAACCACATCGTGGGCTGATTCGTATCCTCCTCCGTGGTAGTATTGTCGATACTTGATACGTCGCCGCTCAGCGTCACGCTGCCCGTGTCTGCGTTTGGAATGTCGTCCGAGTCCGAATCGTCGGAGCTCGAGCTACTGCAAAATGCCCGAGCAAAGAAAAATAACAAATAGATATTAAGCGGCATTGAATTAAGTAAACGAAATGTTCTTGCGTATATTCTATTCTTCGCGATCTTCTATTTAAAATCCCAACGATTACTCTGATCTTGGGTAAATTTCATGATACCATTTTTCACTTTGGTTTAGTAATTAATTAATACTCAATTTAAACAAATATAATTAATTAATGAAAAGCATGAGATGTGTATTAGTGAATAAATTAGCATTTCGGATATTTATCGATATTTATTACTCAACCCGATGAATGAGAAATAACGTGGGCAATTATTAATATTTGCCATTATCAATAAATCATATATCTAATTATAAATCGCTTAATACTGCCAAGCCTCGAATATCATTATTTACGCGTCAGCCGCGATTGCCGCGGGTGAAATATTACCTGTCTAACTGTATGTTACCGCCGCTGGCATCCACGTCTTGCACCGATATGCTTATACCGCTCTTGCTGTTAACGAATGGACTGTTGTTCGACGTGCACGAGTTTGAACTGAAAAAAAAAATCACATTTAAAACCATGTTCCATTTCCCGCCCGCTATTCAATTACATCACGTCGCAATTAATGTCACGCTCATTTACATCGTCTGCCTGTCGATCTTACCCAGGCGTGCAAGCGGGTATTCCAGCGACGCAGAGTATCCTAGCGTTACAAACTCCGTTGCACGACGTTACTTGCGGCGGTTCCGGGCTCAGGCTTAGCACGCATACCTGACCGACGTAACCGTCGCTGTTGCAGACCCAGACGTCCTTCGATCCCTGCCCGTTCGCCAATGTCGGCGCCGCGCAAGTAAACTGTAGGCCCGCTCGCGTTTTTCTGATGGGCAGAGGCCCCACAAATTCAGGACACGGTCTCCTGTCGGCCGATAGCGCTGCACAGGAAATAAAAACTTGAAATTTTCTTGAAAATTTATTTTTAATTGATTAAAAGAGGAAAATAAATTATATATAATAGATTTAAAAATTGAAGATTTATATGTGAATATATCTTATACGTATGTCTATGCTTCAACCATCTACAAGTATTATAAAAATTATAAAATATTTTGAATTTAATTTAATGTGTATTGGTACAAGATTTTATTAATTAAAACGTTATATGTGTTTATTAAATCGCAATTTTTCGCACCTCTGCATTTATTAAAATTCATTACCTTTTATTTAAAATTTAATTTAATAAATATTGCTTTTGTATAAAAGTTTTAAAGAGACAATTGCAACTGATTGTGATTAAATTGCGATTAAATTATTCATCTATTTGTAAAATATTCAATATATCTATATATCTTCGATATATGTATATATATTTTTTTATATATACATATGTTGGTATTACTCTGTCAAGTTTTATTACATCGAATGATGTAATAAAAAGGAAGTTATTTTTAGAACACGTATTAATATCAAAAAATCACTTTATCAATACTTTTCAAACATGGAATACGCGAAATGAAAAAGTAACATTACACACCGAGCTTCTGTTTGGCTTCATTGAAACTCTCCTCCCAGCTCGCACGCTTGTCCGGCTTCGCGAACATGACGGATATGTTCTCGATTCCGGCTCTGCAAACAAAGTACACAGGTGTAATGTGAGTCACGTTGCAACTGCGATCGAATCATCATAATTTAGGGATCCAATGTTGAGCACGTGTGACAAAAACGTGATCGAAAACAATGTCTGAGAACGATCAAAGGATTTCATGATATTAATCTTACAAAATTAGATGACTCTTTTTCATATCTCATCAATAAATTTACTTATCGCTTATCCATTTCCTGGTTTCATCTATGTATAAATTATATAATAAAGATATAAACATTATAAATTTATATGTTTTCTATAACAAGAAATTACTGTTTGTAAAGATTGTACTTTTGCTTTGGTACATGCAGCAAAAATTAAGACTCGAGTCGTAATCGCTACATCAATATATTTTTTATCAAGATTGATAAGCTTTTCACTATATATTTATCTTGCTTAATTTTCAAGAGACAAAAGCTTACTGAGTATTGAGTGTAAGTTCCAAGCAGGCCAACTGCGAATGCGCCGCGTTTCTTTCGGCCAATTGCCGTTGGGCTTGACTCAGCATATCCTTGATAAGGTCTTCCAACTGCTGCTTGGCACCATGCAAAGTCGCGGCGAGCTCCTGCAGCTGAGTCAACTTTGTGCAGTCTTCTCGGAGATAGTCCACTTCGCGCGCCATTCGCCTTAAATTCTCGTCTTTGGCTGGAAACAGAATTGGGATTATCTCCAGTCCGAACAACGAATAATATACAAAATCGGTGTCTCTACGATACCTTTCATCACTTCGAGATCATCCAGTGAGATTCGCATCAGCATTTTGTACTTGTTCGCGTCAAGCAGACCGACCAGACTGTTCGGACACGTGCTTCTACGAATTTTTATTTTTTTTTTGTATTCATATCGTTGTAATAATTTTCTATTAAAAACTGTATTTATCTTTATGTATTAAAACGTAAAAATATATATAATACATGATGTTAGTATAGATCATTTATATTAAATCACATAATATTATATAATATTATATAATCATATTATATAATCATATAATATTATATAATATTATATTAAATCATATAATACATTATGATAATATGATTCATATTAAAGTGTTGCAACGCAATATGCAGAATTACAGAGCAATTATTTTACTATTCAGACAATAGCTAGAAAATACTGCTTTTAAATTAATTTCATTTACTTGTATTACATTTAGTGCTTAAAATAATTACAGGCATTAGAAAATACATAAAAATTATTTTAAGAAAATTTCAAATATAAATATTTGTGATAATGCGAGAATATTTCTACATTTTATGTACTAAACTCTTTCTACTAAAACGCGAGATAAAATAAATTCGATTAAAATAAATTCGATTTAGATAAATTTAAACAAAATTTATTTTGTCTCATCATTAGATAGATTTAGCAATTTCTTTTTTATATTAAAGTATATTTCAGATATTTTTGCTTACGTTGACGGTTTTCTTATGGTGCCGCTTCTGCGCTTGATGCTGGTGATGACGAGGAGATCGGAGAACAAAAATAAAGCCCGTTCCTTCCGTGTGCCCTGATTCGACACTATGGTGACCAGATCGTGTCGGACGAAAGCTCTACGGGAGAGAAAGCGGACAACGTGTCACACGATGAATTCGATGAATCTTTTTGTCGTGTCGTGGCCAGTTTCCGCTACAGCACGCATCATTATCGGTAATCAATACTCCGATTCCGATGGCTAAATAAGTCCAGCGGAAAAACTATGTAACGCGTATGAGACGATTGGCATAGATTGAAAAGCATGCGAAGTGGGACGACGTTTCTGTCGCAGCAATAGTCGATAATTTATTGGAAAATGTTATTCAAAACGAAGCAGTAGAAGCAGTATGCATTTTTTTAATTATTTGCATTTCTAGTAATCATTAATTCTCTCTTAAACGACTATTATAAAATATTTATGTTACAATAGTATACAATAATTTTGATATTTATTTAAATATTAAAATATCGTTGTCATGAATTGTCAGTATAACAATTACAATTGTTATTATTATAACTTGACCTTATAAAAAATTGTCGCTTATATGTTTAATTTAAAAAAGTCTTTAGGTATCTTAACTCTAATCTTTACTCTGGTTCGCAAATTGAGCAATTAATTTATCGTCCGTATTTAACTATCCACTCTTTTGTTTTCCCGCACTCTTCAGCGAAATTAAGTTTCAACATTTGCCGTCGACGTCAGATGAGAAAACGATTGGGAATTATCTTTCCATCGTGATAATTCGCACTCCGCTGGCCGTTATTTTGTTACCTGTCGTTCGTCACGATGCCGGCGAGACCTTCGACGAGAGCCTGGACTTCCCTCAGCGTCGTCTGCTGCTGTTCCCATTCGAGCGACTCCCTTTCCGTGCAGTTGATCTTCACGACCAGCTCGTGCACTTCCTTCTGCGCGGCCTGCAGCAGCTCGTAATCGGGATGCGTCGGATCCGTGTGCTTTAGCAACCTCTGGATCAACAATTCGTACCGCGGGATCTTCTGCACGGGTTTGATCAGCAGCTGGTCCAGCCCCAGTTTACCCTTGTGCTCGCGTTCCATTGTCTAATCATAACAAAAAGTGATCTACTCTCTGGGAACTTTTCGTATTTTGTAATTTATCTGAAGTACCGCGGGTTGGTGAAATTAACTTCCGCATAAAATTTAGACAGCTAACAGTAAACGATAATAGTTGTCATATAATCATCCATATAATGATCCAATTGAAATCTTGTAAAATTATACGAAGAACTTTATTTATTTATTTATTTTTAATAAAATTGTAAATTGTTTTGAAGAGGCTCTTTGAAGAAATATATATAACACACGTTATATGTCATTATAAGGTCATGAATCTAAAGAAGAACTCAGCGAAACCGCTGATCTTTACGTGTTCTATTACAAGATCAGCAACAATAATACAATGACAATACATTTAAGCTTTAATGTTTAAAGGATTAAACCGATATTCGTATTCCCTGAGATGCAAGTTGCCAAGTGTGTCGAAGATGCGCCCAGTTTCATGGGAATCTAAGCGGTAAGTAGGCGACGGTGACGCCGGCAATCAAGTAACAAGTTAATTATATCGATAAAATTGCGAAAGGTCAGGTTTGATCGCGACGCTTTAAGAAGCGACGTGGAATGAAAAAGTTTCGTATTTAATAATAACCGTCGCGTTGTGAAGAGAGGAATATATATGTATGTGTATGTGTGAGTGTGTGTGTGTTTCTGTGTGTGTATATATGTATGTATATATGTATATGAGTCGCAACGGATAGAATGTGCAGCGTACCTCGAGAAATCGTGCGAAGGCCGGCTTCGCTTGGCACGTTGTTTTTATCGCCTTCCTCGCAGACTTCCAATTGTCCAGAAACAGGGTGTATGTCTCCAGCACCACCGGCTTCGTGAACTACAAAGCCACGAGCTCTTTATATCTTTACATATTGATGAAAATATATGTCATGCACGAAAGGCAATTCTCTAAAAATATTATTTGAAAGAAAGTATTCAACATTATTCAATCGTTAAGTTCGTTAAGTTAAGGATTACAAAAATACTTGACTCAAAGTTTATGTAAAATAAACGTCATCTAAATATAGATTCATATTCGCAATATTCAATTTTTCAATTAAATATATTTTACTATTTTATCTAAAATACTTGACTCAAATTATTTTGCAATGTACGTGCTGAAAAAGATTTACTTCATAAAAATGTAGTGTGGCACATTCCTAGTTTATTTTTAAATAATCGATAAAAAGCTTAAATTCATTTCTGAAATAACACACTCAAATGACGGAGCGCGCAAATTTGCGGATGATGAGAACTTGTTAAACTTTACCCCCTTTCAATTGAATAGTAAATTTGGGGTTGGCGCTGTCAAAATTTGTTCTGTCTGTAATATCAATCGCGCACCGAATTCCAATACGCCAGAATTAATTCGCGGCGGACAAAGCCGAAGCGGGAACGAATTTCGTCTCACGTTGTACGAGTATCTTACCTTTTAGAGAAAATCCTGAAATATCACGGCATTGCGAAACAACCGCTGTAAATTTTGTTCGTTACATGATGAACGAAAAAAAAGAATGCAAAAAAAAAGAACGCAAATAAATGTGTTTCCGAAGATAAAAATATTCCGTGTTTATGTAAGGAGCGGTGTGACCGCGTCGGTCGTCGGTCGATTTATTAATGTAGACCGAACAGAAGAATTCACTCGCCGCGAATTAACTGTATCTGTCGATTCTGCTGGCGTCCCCCGGAGTCTTAACGACGAAGGAAAACGGACACTGTTGCGCGTGTAATTTATTACGTGTCCGGCCGGAGATATTTGCGAACCTAGTAACAATGTGAACTCACCACATCGAGGAAGACGTCGCCGATCGTCTGCTTGAGTTCCCAGGTGTCCAGTCGCCTACGCAACTCCTCCAAGAATACCTCGTGATGACTGAGAAGCGCAGGAATCTAAAATGCGCAAGTATTTCCATTCGACAACTTTATCTTTGATTGATCGACGCACAATCAAATAATACTTTAAACGAGGGATCACGCCGGAAATCAGAATTAAATCGATTAAAACGCGATGCACCGAAGCTAACAGGGGGTTAAAAATTTATTATTAAACATTTTCGCTACAAATACATAAATATGATTTATATTAAAAAGTAAAAGATAAAAATAGCAAGAGCAGAGCTCTCAGTTCTCAATTCAGCTTTGTACTGCTATTGAACTTCATAAAAAATCCTTTTAAGATTTTTTATCTCTTTAATGAGTATCATATAATAAGTGCACTCTTTATACCCTAACTATTATTTTAATAATATTTTATATTATAATAGTATTATATAAATATCATTAATATTCAATGAATTAAATATTAAATACGTTAATAATAATAAATTATTAATCTCCTCTACTGTTCGAAGCAATTCATAAAACAATTAATTGCTGCTCCGAACAAAGAATTAAGCGGAGTGTTCTACAGTTCGATCGTGTTTTCCATCCGAGCGGGATCGATCAACTTTGCGGTTAGATGTTGCTCTTAAATCTTGAGTCGGTCGGAAGATCGTAAAGCCCTCCTCCGCCTATATACAACTCGACGCGGCATTTAAAATATAACCCCGCGAAGAGAGAGGAGTTCCTCGGTTCCGCAGAACTTCCCGGATGTTGAATTACAGCCCGCCGACGAGGCATGAATTTATGCGCACGGAATAAGTGCGACGTATACACCTTTGACGACGAAAATATGAAAATAGACCCGTTTATGTATCTGCAGTATCACACTCACTTGATAAAATATCTCGTCGACTGTTCCAGCATCTACCAGACCGGCATTCTCGGGGCTTTTCAGGGGCTGTAAGTATTTCTGAAACATAATCAAAGACATTGTGTTTGTGATACTTTTTCCAAACGTGGCAATTGCCTTTTTATCTATTAAATTCTTTATTATAAAAATGTATAAAGATTATAAAGAGAAAAAGAGTTCTCTGCCGAGTCTTTCGCAATCGACAGTACTGTTACTTTTAAATAAGCAAAGAAATTTTTATATTAAATTGTCTGCAATCACTGTTCGCAAGCGGAACAGAATTCCTAATAATAATTTTCATTTAGCTTTGCCATTCCTTAAGCTTAAGAAGATCTACATTAGTGCTCGCACGCGCATTAAGGCGGACCTTCGGGCTCAATTTCGCGTCCTTCATGCCAAAGGAGACCCCGTGAACTTTAGACGCTAGAATTTCAATGCCGCGCGAGTCGAGAAATGAATTCAATTCAATTAACGCCAACGCGCTGATACCGTAATCCACCGGGGCAAAAAATATATCCCGCGGTTTATTTGTACGCTCCTGATAGCTCCCTTCCTATTATTTTTCTAGGTCGCGTCGGACGACGTGAAAAATGCGAGGGCCCCCCTTCGTCGTCGGTCCCAAGGCCGCCGTTAAATAATCAGTAAACGTGCCGACAACGGTTCCCGTTGTGCGGCAGCCGCGTTGTTTATAAAATATGACAATCAAGCCGGCCGTACGCGCCGTTACGGTGACGCTTAAATTCCGCGGGTGTAAAACAGCGGGTTAACCGCTGGTTAAAAATCGCCTCGGCTGAGAGAATTTCGAAGAAACCAGCACGCCCTAATTTGGAAGCGTAAACTGTAGAACGCGTCCTGCGTTTAATCCTATGCGGCCGAATGTGACCAGATGACCCAGTGCGATTGCAATCTCAAATTATTATTGTTACACATATATTCTCTGCCCGTTTTTAATAATGAATATATGTTCAGCTGTAGTTTAACTTTGATTAAATTTGATTCCCTTCACGGAGAAAGTAATTTGTTCAACGTGCATAATTATGCATTAATGAATGTAAATTAAATTAAAATAAATTCATAACACACACACACACACACACACACACACATACGCACATAGAGAGTATATATATATATATATATATA